AGAGAGTGAGTGAGTGAGTGAGTGAGTGAGTGAGTGAGTGAGTGAGTGAGTGAGTGAGTGAGTGAGTGAGTGAGTGAGTGAGTGAGTGAAACAGGCAGAGGAGGAAGGAAGAGGGGGGGGGGGAGACAGAGAACGAGAAAGAGACATAGGATTCGGGAAGATGAGAGAGAGAGAGGGACGAATTCCAGGACGTCCGTACGTTGTCGTGGGTCTGTGACCGACCTGCCGGCAGCAGATGTCATCGCCTCGTAACGAAGTGTGCGTGCTCATGTCCTCCAGGGCTACTGCTGGTCCTGGGCGCCGCCGGCCACCGCTACCCCCCGGGGGCATACCCGCCCTACCCGCACTTCCCGCCGGGGGGCCCGGGGGGGCCGGGGGTGGCGCTGCACCAGCCGCCGGGGCCGCCACCGGGGCCCGGCCGAGGCCCGCCGGTCATGTTCCCGCTGCGGGACCAGTCGCACGAGCACCCGTCGCTTCTGCCCCCGCCGCCCGAGCCCGGCGCCGCCGGCGGGCAGCCGCCGCCCCCGCAGCCGCCGCCCCCGCTGCCCCCGAGCCTCGCGGGCGGCTCGCCCAACCGCCCCTCGCTGCCGCACCGGCCGCCGCACTGGCCAGCCATGGTGGGCTACCAGCGGCCCATGGACGACATGGTGGACATCACCAACGAGCTGGGCGTATCCGTCCTGCAGGTGCGTGACAATCACTGCAATGCTGTTGTGACGACTTCTTGTTGTTCGTCACACGATTGACGATTGACACGCCTCCCACCCGCAGGACTACGCCTACTCCAGGGGCAACTTCGCTTTCTCGCCGTACGGCGTGGTGAGCGTGCTGGTGGTGCTGTACGAGGGCGCCCGCGGGGAGACGGCCCGCCAGGTGCACACGACCCTCAAGCTGCCCTGGGACCGCGACGTGCTCCGCGTCGGCTTCAGGGACGTCCACCGCAACCTCAAGGTTAGACCCGGCCCGGGGGCCACTCACTTGCAACTGCCGGTCATTTTGCCGCGCGGAGACACCGCGAGCTGGTTATTTGACAGTTTTGACGTGAGGCGACACGGGCAGGCGGTGGAAGTCGTCCAAATGACCTGCTCGTCTGCCTCGCGTGAGATGTGATTCCCCCTCCAGCATGACGACTTGATTGCAGTGGCGTATGTAGAAATAAAAACAACCAGAAAGAAGTCTCCTGCCCCAGCAGAACCACAGCTCCCTGAACAGTGTGAGACACACGGGTACCAAAGTTTCGCGCATATATTTTCCTCATGTTCCGTGTCGCAGAGCTACTTCAGCCACGAGGGCTACCTGAGCGGCGTCACTCTCAGCCAGTCCCGGACCGCGCTCATCCCCGAGTTCCGCCGGGTGCTTCGCTTCTACGGCTACGACGTGGACATGCCGGCCGTCCCGGACGCCATCACCACCGCCAACGCCTCCGCCGTGCTGTCCTCGCCGCAGGTAAGGCCACGGTGGTGCCATGCCATACCGCTCTCTGAGTAGAAATCTGGACTAGAGACGTCCAAGTAAGTGACGCTTTTTTGAATGCCTGGCAATTTTTTTTTTCGCAATGAGGATGTGTATGGCGTATGACCCTCCAGATCACAAGCAGCAACAAGCGGCCCACGGTGGCGGCGGGCGTTAGCACGGCCAGCCCAAGCACAAGCACCACAGACGTGCCAACAACGCCAGCGCCCGTGTCCACGACCAGCTCCACGACCCCCACGCCAAACCCGTCCTCGACGGCCGCCACGAGGTAATACTCATTCTTAGTTAATAGTCGCGGGCATTGCGTTACCAGACCGAAGGTTTGACCCCATGCACCTCGTTGGTTTGCAGTCTCGTCGGAGCAACTGCCTCGCAGACGGAGGGCGGCGGCAGTGGTGGCGGTGGAGGCGGTGGAGGCGGCAGTGGAGGCGGCGGAGGCGGTGGCGGTAGCGGTGGAGGTGGTAGCGGCGGCGGCGACGGTGGCGGCGGCGGTGGCAGCGGCGGCCCGGCGTCTCCACAGAGCGATGCTACGACCCCTGCGAGCGAGGCCACAACCCCTGCGAGCGAAGCCACGACGACGACATCGGCGTCGTCCAGCCCGGCGCCCACGACGGAGGCCGGCAGCACGGCCGCGACCGCGGCGCCCTCGGCCTCGACCACCCCGGCTGGCGGTGTGCAGGTTGCCGAGAACGAGGTCGAGCAGGAGGTCGAGAGGATAGGCGGCACCGACTCTCCCCTCAGCCTGCTCAACCCCAGCCTGCTGCAACAGAAGTTCCCCGGCATCCTGATGGGCTCCAAGCTGCAGGAGCAGCTCAACTCTCTCTTCCCGGAGGGGCTGCCCGAGTCGCGGGTGGACGACGTGGAGGACACGGAGGCGCCCGCGAGCCCGACATCCACTCCAGCATCAGCCACGGCCACGCCGGCAGCCACGAATACCGAGCCCTATCTGGTGGGACTTCATCCGCTCTCTCACAATAAATTTAGCGAACGGGCGTCGGGATAATCACTTCTTTGCATTTGTTCAGCCGCCTGATAGCGAGTCCAGTACCCTGCAGCAAGCCGAGGAGGTCGACCCGGAGCCCAGCGACGAGAGCACGGTGGCCCCCGAGACCACGGCCGAGTGGACGACGGAACAACTCGACCAGGAAACGGTGACGGCGGCGGGCGCGGGCAGCACGGACACGCCAGTGCCAGAGACCACGGCCGCGACAGAGCCGACAGAGCTCGCCGAGTAAGGCGTCAACGACGCGTTAGGAGCCTGAAGGTAGCGGAGGCCGTGCAGTGTCTCATGCCATTTCACTTCATGCAGGGTGACAACTGTCTCGGAGGAGCTGAGCAGCGCTCTCGACACCGACTCGGAAACCACCACCACAACCACCACGGCCGCCGCCGCCGAAGACGTCGACACGACGACGCCGATGGCGTCGACCACGCCGCCGCCGCCGCCTAGCCAGCAGCCCAGCGGCGACAGCGCGGCCGCGGCGGTGCGGAGGAGGGCGCGCGTCCCCGGCCCAGCCTTGTCCTTCTGGACGGGCTTGGAGGCGGCCTCGGCGCACAACGACTCCAGGCCCGCGTCCGGGACGGGCTCTGGGCGGCGGCGGCGGCGCAGGGACGTGAACGGTGCGCACGCCCGGCTCCTGCAAGTGCCCCCCGCCCCGGCCCCGGCACTCACCAACCGCCACCGTGTTGCAGCAGGCGGCTTCCCGGACCTCAGCCTGCAGCTGCAGAACGGCATGTTCGACAGCCACGTGGCCACGGGCGACGAGCTGTTCACCCAGCTGCCGCGCCGGCCCTTCCTGGTGGACGGCGCCTTCGAGGAGCCCGTGCCCGTCATGGAGTACACCGCCTCCTTCCCCTTCGCGTACATCGCCCGCTTGCACGCGCTCGCCCTCGAGTTCCCCCTGGACGTAAGGCACCAGAGCGTAGTGGTCTAGTAGTAATTTAAGTCCTTGTAAATAGCGATATCAGTTGTTTTTTTTTTTTTTTAAATTTGCAATATGTTTCGTGGGAAAACGTTCAAAGTAGAAACTGGAATGTCCCAAAGACATTTTTCGAGCTAGTTGCCGCGTAAGATTCCACTCGTTGCATTGCCCCTCCGCAGGACGAGCGCTACAAGCTGCTGCTTCTGCTCCCAGTGGAGCGCCAGGGCTTGCGCCAGCTGCTGCAGGGCCTGAACAGGGTGCCGCTGCGCGAGGTGCAGCGCGCGCTCAGGCCCACCCGCGTGCAGGCAGTCGTGCCCGCCTTCATGGTGGAGGGCTTCGTCATCCTGACGCCCACCCTCCAGCAGGTGTGTGATAGTGATAGAAGGGACCAAAACGAGTCTTTATCTGCAAGTTTCGCTACTTCTGTATTTTTGTTTGTTGTATCCAGCTCGGAATATGGGATCTGTTTGATCCTCGGAGGGCCGATCTGTCGGGGATGACGGATGATCCCGATCTGTACGTGAGGAACATCGAACAGGCCGTCACCGTAGTGGTAAAGAACTACGTGGAGATACTGGACATCCAGACTCGTGAGTGTTTGCAGATCAAATGAATAATGCTATTTCAGAAAAATTGGAAAGAAGAACAGCACGAATAACTAAGTGGCCCATGATTTGTCACTCGGTTTCCCCCTCCAACTGAGCGACGAATCACAGGCCTCCTTGTTATTCGTGCTGTTCTTCTTTCCCATTTCTCTGAAATAGCTTAGTGGCGCCCCTGAAAAGGAAAGGACTGAGTAACAGGAGATGAATTTAACAGGTACAACAGCGGCCCGCTCTCGGCTCGACCAGTTCATCGCAACCCATCCATTCCTGTACTTTGTGATGGATTCTGAAACGCAGGTGTCGCTCATGGCAGGAAAAGTTGTGGATCCACTAAACTCAAGAATCTACTGATTCTAGATAAGAAGACTGAAATGTACCTGTGCTGTGTAGAAAGATATAGAATGAACCTATAATGTTAAAGTAGAGTATCGAATCTATTTATGTATGAAAAGTCGAGACATGTGTAAACAAAGGTTATCCATGCTCCTGGAAAAGTAACAAGAATACTTAAGACATTTTCCCGAGCATCGAAAACTAAAGAACCAGTAAAGTAGTAAAGTTCCTCATGTCGCTCCATAGGGAACGAATGATAACTTCACTGCCACTGCAACCAACGGCATCAACTGCAATTCGCGGCCTGCGTGTCAACCAACCAGTTAATTCTGGACCCCGGCGAATATATATGTAACTTGTCAACTGTGCCAATAAACAATCAGAAATCATCACATCGGAGTTGGCGTTCCTGCACCACCTTGTACGGCCCAATCACTCCAGCAAGATGTAGGGTGGGTGATACAGTTATTGGAGGGGGTACAGTAATTATTGGACGCTTCGCACTGCGAGTGCCACTGTAGACAGACGGTGCGACGCAGTCAAATCATCCGTAGCGCATTCGTTGGGCGGGTTCTCGAACGAACGTCTACCGCTGTCGCCGCTCCGGCACCCTCACTCACAACAGAGCAGCAGCGAGCGGCGCAAACGTCTGCTCAGCTAGCCGTCAGCCGTCAGAGAGGTGAGTTTCTTTGCAGCGCTGGCAAAAGGAAGGGTTTATAAAATCGACTATTTAGACAGTCCCCAAGACGGTCTCTACCAGAGGGAGGAAGCGTGCCCCCCCCCCCTTTTCCTCGCTGGGGGCGCCGCGGTCTGTGTGTGTGTGTGGCGACCGCTGCGTCCCCTATCCCACTTCCCCTCAGCTCACTTGGCCAACGGCCACGCCTCGGCTGGGAGCTCTATCTCAGCTCTATCTGTGGCCTGTTCGAGAGGACTGTCTCCTAGCCCTGTGGGATAATCTTTTCTAACGTTTGTCGATGGAATCCGTAAAGTACGTTCACGGTATGGTACTGAGGGTCCATTGTTCAAGATGGATGGCTGTGTCGTTGGCTCTGATTCGGTTGCCTGATGCACGAATTGTCACTGCGACAGGTATTGAACGGCAATCATATCTGAAGCGCGCACGGCCTGTTCTTTTGACTTCGTATCAGCCCCTCTATGATTTTGCGGACGTCTATCATTGGGCAAGATGGGAAATGTTAGCTGCGTCCAGATACGTTGGTGCATTGGGTGCCTTGGTGGGTGCCTGAGTCTGCTAGTATGAGAAAATAGTGCGCTATCGTGGCTGTGATTGATCTAAATCCCAATGTTTCTCATACTACCAGACTCAGACACACAAGGCACCCAAGACACCCACGTATCTGGACGCGGCTGTTGGGGAAGACGCGGGGGG